CTATGAATGTAATTTCTTTGGTTGTATTTATGCTAAAATAGACTACAAATGTAGTTTTGTTTTAACTGAATTGAAAAGGGCAACTAAGAAAAAGGCTTGTATCCTAATATTAAATAAAGACACTGTGGCTTTGACAACTTCCTCCAGTCTAACCCCACTAGAATGGAAAACTGAGATGGCAAGAGCTAAGGAAGATCTAACATAAATTTTAATATTTATATAAGCTATGTTAATATAATCACTTAACATTTGAGATTATTATTCTCTAATAGGATCCTACTGGGATCTTGTGTTCCTCTTCCCTCAAATATAGCAATTACCCTCCTTTTTCCTTTGTAATAATTTAAGATATGGGAACTGAATATTTGTTTGCATGTCATTAGCTGTGGATCGTAGAACAGAAGTCCAATTTCAAGGAGGTAGATGTCTGGTAGCATTATTATTTAGAATTTGAAGGATGCAGCAGTGTGAAAAATGAGGATATTTGTCAATGAGATGAAAAATTTTTGAGGCTGGATGTTGCTTAACTTCATATATCAGATCTAACCTACTTTAGAGAGAAATGAATCATTCTTTGAAATGTCCTGTCTCTTCCCATGAGATGTAAAGGTAGTCTAAAGAGCCACGAATACTTGGTGCTGAAGTAAAGGTCAGGAAGATGTATCCAGTTCTAAATTAGTGAATGTAAGCCGCTGATTCTGTACTCTTTACTTGGTTTCATCTCATTTTAAGTTTCCAAAATGAACTGTGTTTGTGTACCACATAACAATGTTCTGATCATTATGGTTGCTACGGAAACTTAGCTGAAGTTTTATCAATATAAACTCAAATAATTGAACTGTGATTAAGCACAGTAGGAGAAAGAAGAGTTCACACCACATCCTTGTACTTCAAAGCAAATTACAAGGTCATGAGTCCAGGCATGCAGGAACAGGATCTCCAGGGTAATTCCATTGCTCCCATCAAGGTGCATCTGAACAGGAGTAAAGGCTACAAAGAGAAGATCTATGACTTTCTGATGGTACATGCCATGAGTAAAGTACTGGGGTAACTTCTTCTGCCTGCTATGCTTCATTGCAGGATAGAAATGAAACTTCTGGAGCTTTGCAACGGCAGTGAGAGCAAGAAACAAAGCCAAGTGCAAGGTCCTACAACTGGTTTGTGGCAATCCCAGGAATACCTGCAGGCTGGAAGGAGAAATGATTGAGAGCAGCCCTGTGGAGAAGGCCTTAGGGATGATAGTTGATGAAAAATTCAACCTGAGCCAGCAGTGTGCGCTCACACCCCAAAAAGCCAATGGTATCCTGGGCTGCATCCAAAGGGTCTTGGCCTGCAGGTCAAGGAAGGTGATTCTGCCCCTCTACTCCACTCTGTGAGACCCCACCTGTAGTACTTCTTCCAGTTCTGGTGTCTTAAACATAAGAAGGACGTGGAATTGTTAGAGGAAGTCCTGAGGAGGGTCATGAAGTCAATAAGTGGATTAGAGCATCTTACCCTAAGTTGAGAAAGTTGTGGCTGTTCATCCTGGAGGAGATTGTGTGGAAATCTCATAGCAAACCTCCAGTATCAGATGGGATCCTCCAGGGAAGCTGAACAGGGACTCTTCAGGATCTTTAGGGATAGGACAAGGGAGAATGGGTACAAACCGAAAGGGAAAATTTGGGTTAAATATTAGGAGGAAATGCTTTACTGTGAGTGGTGAGAGATTAGAAGAGGTTGCCAAGGAAGGCTGTGGATGCACCAACCCTGGCAGTGTTCAAAGACAGTCTGGATAAGGCCTCAAACCACCTAGTCTACTGGGAGGTGTCCCTTCCCATGTCAGGGGGCTGGAACTTGATGATCTTTCAGGTCTGTTCTGATGCCCTAACTTTCTCTCTTTCTGTGAAGTCCTGGATACAGCTGCAGAGTAATCCAGTTTCACCTCACACCTATTAGCTTTGCCATTAAAGTTGATTGAATGTCATTTTCTGATATCTAATTTACATAATGAGCACTAAATATCAAATAACTATGTACGCAAATTCCAGTCTGGGAAAAAAAAAAGAAATGTTAAATATTTGTATTATCTTCTGTCTGTGAAAAGGCACAAATTTTCAAGCCAGCTATAGAAGAACTCAGTGCAGTAATTAATGATGTAAAAATGAGTATAATCAGGAAAAAAAGGAAGTTCTCACATGATTAAAAAAGGTTTGGTCCTGCAGAAGCAGAATACATTCTAAAGGTTTTTAGGGCAGCTATGTAAACACAATATATTATGCAGTACTGTTCATGCAAAAATAGTTAGCAAGCACAAAGCAATGCAAGACTTAAGATGAATTGCTGAACTGCTTGTGAACACTGTGGGGTAGATACAATTACTCAGGCACACCTATGTGGGGAAATGAACTGGGTACCAGTTACACAGCTCAGCTGCAGTACAGTGTCCAATTTTGGTCATCTTAATCAGAAAGAGAAATAGCACATAAGGATCAGACTTAGTAAGAGTCAATGTGAGTGAGCAGAAGCAGTGAAAAAGCCCAAAAAAGGTTTTTTTCTGAAATATCTAAGTTTATCTTAGAGAAGAATAAAAAATAAAAATAAAAATATGCCTTTTTGTATAAAACACCCCAATGAATTCCAGAGAGAGAAAATGGCAGAAAACAGTAAATCCCTTTGCCATTTCTTTTAGGAGACAAAAAAATGGTAGCTAATCCAGTACTACTGTGTGTCATTCACTGAAAGACATTGCCACAAAATAGCACCAGGAGAGAGTTTTAAGTTGAAAGGGGAAGGGAGTTTGATGCTGACACACTTGGTGAATACTTCTGTAGTTAAATCCTAGAGAGAATTTTAAAGCAGCAAGGTTTGTAAATGACACTTCAAAACAAAATGTCAAAGGTGCTTGTATCATGCCAGTTTTTCTAGATTCAGCTTTCTTTCGGATTATTTCACACTGTTAAATATCAAACACAGAATTATCAGGCTATGGTTATCATTATAGTTCATTAATAATTGTCTCCCAAGCATTTTTCAAATTTCTGAACTGTATTTCTATGATGATCTCAGATCACAACAGCCCCTTTTTTACTGTAATAACATGAAATTAATCTGCAGCAAATTAAAAGACTAATGGAATTCCATGATTTATAGCTGTAGATCAGGTTTCAGCATGGGGAAAAAAAAGAAAAGCTGATTTATTTCAAGATAGGGAACATGCTGATATAAATGACATGCTAGAACTATTGACTGACATAAATTCTTAATTCTTTATTAGAATCAAGAACAAAAGCAGGGAAGCAGGTTATTTCCTTTTTTTTTTTTTTTTTTTTTTTTTTAAGAATCAGAGAGTTTTCTCTTTTTCTCACTGAAATAACTTGATGTGGCCAGCAAGCTCATAGTAACTTGAAAACTTTGAGTTCTCAGCGGTGCCTTCAAATTTGGTTGAAACTGGATACCTTGTTTGAAAGTTGGTGGGTAGACGGACAGACTGACAGACAGATAAATGGCCATGGACAACATGATTGCATAAAACTTTTCTTTTTAGAAAACCAGGATAAAAATAAACTCCCTTTATTATAACACTCATTAGACTTCTGGAATCACTAAGAAAGCTTCCATAATTACAGTACTATACTTCAAAGGCAGTTTGAAGATATGTAATGGTTATAACTGTTATTCTTGTCTGACTACCTGTAAAACTGCTTCATGCCACTCATTCCTAATGGCTGTTTAACAATTTTTATTGTTGAATATGTGCTACCAACTGACCGTAGCTTGAAGAAACAAATAACACGACAAAACAAAAATCTCAATATTCATTTAGAGTTGTCTCCACCGAGGTCTGTAAACAAAAGCTATTAATTCAGCTGGGAACATGATGAGGGATGCTAGGTAATTCAATCCAAGAGAACTGAACTATTTAGAATGGTTTAGGTTGGAAAAGATCTTTAAGGTCATTGAGTACTACTGTTAACCCAGCATCGCCACAGCCATGACTAAACTGTTTCCCATTCCCATGACATTGACATATACTTTAAATACTTCCAGGGATAGTGACTCCACTACTTCTATAGGCAGTCTGTTGAAATGCTTGACAGCTCTTTTGGTGGAGAATATTTTCCCTGATATACAGATTAAACCTTCTCTGGCACAACCTAAGGCTGTTTTCTTTTGTATGGTCACTTGTTTATTGGGAAAGAAGACTGACACCTACCTTTCAAGTAGCTGTAAGAGAGCAAAAAGTCCCCTCTGACCCTTCTTTTCTCTAGGCTAAAGAACCCCAGTTCCCTCTGTAACTCTCATAGGACTTGTTCTTTAGACACTTCACCAGCCTTGTTGGTCTTCACTTACAAGTCACTTGCAAATATTCTATGATGCCACTTTTTGAGAATCAAGTGAATACTTGATTCTGAAGTACATCAGAAAAAGCTTGAGGTCATTTTGGTCATTTAATGGAACACAAAAAGCCATTAAAGTAAACTGTGCTACTCAAATGAATATTTATTCAGATCATGAAGTGGTTTACTTCACCCACTTCAATTTTTAAAATCCACCTTTGCTGCATTCCAATTGTTATTTTCAGTAAACAGATAGGCATTTATCTAGATACAGAAGAATATTTGCCTGTAAAAATAACCCATTCTGATGAAATTATCAAGATTATGATGTATGCAGCATTCAACAAAGCAAGTTACCTTTCTAGAAACTTACAGATACTTGATCTGATTAGATTATTTACTGTTTTAAAAGAAAGGCTTGTGAAAACTTACCCAAACATGGATTTGCTTAGTGTTTGTTTTTTCAGGGAGATGAAGACCTTGCTGGAAGTTTGAAGTTAAGCTATGGTGATTTAGAGTCCATTACTGGCATTGAAATTACAATCTGGGTACAATTTGGGCAAACATCCCCACACTTTAACATAAAATTAATGTTTTTGATTAAATACTAAGTAATGATTTTGAGTTCTGTATCTCATGTTTTTCAGTAATATAGCCATAAGCTAGAAAAAGGGTCCAATCTCGTTCTTTACTCTTATGGTAAGATGTGTATTCTCATCAACAGAAGTCATACATGCTTGAGGTTTTTGATCTGTTTTCTCTTCTCTTGCAATTGTCAAGCACAGAACAGCTGACCTGGGAGGAGAGTAGTGGTGAAAAAAAAGGAAATAGATTTGTTAATCATGCTCTTCATTTAGTTAAAATGGCATTGCCATTCTTAATTATTATCACTTATTATTCTTACCTTTTTGTGATTTATTTTTCATCTCTTTATTACTGATGCCTGTCCATTACCTCACAAGATTTTTTTTTTTTTTAATTTGCTGATGAATAGCCCCATATAATGGCTTGGCAACCGTCACCTAGAATAATGTGTGATTCAAATGTTCTGTCTGCCCTTGTCACCTGAGCTGGTCTAGTCTCTCTCATAACAAACAGAAGGTTATAATACTGAACAATGAAGTTTTTAAATCATTGGACCATAATGATCCTTTCTGGGCAAAGTCTAAAAATAATGCTCTACCAGTGAGCTGACCTTATGCCTAAAGCCAGCCCTCAGTATTTATCATCACATTGTCTTTCTTGATTACAGAGCTGTGATGTGCAGCCTGTATCTAACACTGTTCATCTAATGTTTTGGTATTATTTTGCTACTAAGTGCAAATAAGAGGCAAGATGCTAAACTTGAGGTAGAGACAGTTTTCACTGCTGGACTGGGTAGAGGAGTTATGTGTCTTTTTTTAAATATCTACTTCATCTCTCACTTGAATGCATCCATTTGCTCCAATGCCACCTCAGTGTTTTGTTTCCCTTAAAAGACCTTGCATGTGAGATTTTCTTTTTTGATGAAGAGCTATCCAGGGCTTGGTATTTTCCTATCTTAAACCTTTCCATGCTGAAAATACATACCCTTTCCATCACATACCAGAAAGAAGACAATAAAACTGCCATAGCAGAATAGACTGCAAAGTAAGTAACTGGGTTTTAGTTCTTAAAGACAACATGTAAAAATAAAATGGGCAGTTTTTTACAACCACATCTGAAAGAATTGATGTGTTTATTTTGAAACCTGGAAGAATTTTTATATCATCAGTAAGTTCTGACATGTTGATCTACCTTCCATCTGGTGACACCATTTATACTCATGCAGAGCACAGTCAATAGTATAGAAAAACCATATTTCTCCTGTATTACAGTGATATTTTAAGTGACAGTGTGATCAAGGGAGAAGGCTTCAATAATAATAAAAAAATATTAAAATACGAAATATAGTTTGGGGTTTAATAGCTTTCCCATATTGATTTTTACCAGGGTTATTTGCCATATTTTACCATAAGGAGGAGCTGTCATCTCTGCAAAAGCATTTATTTTCCAGTTAATTATTTCAGCTTGGGAAAGCAAATAAGAATACCTAGACATTGTTTCTCAAAAAAATAAGCCAAACCTTCCTGCCCCTGGGTTCTAGTCACTTTCTGCGCCACTTCCTCTGGCTCTTTGGGATCCTTTAAGCTTAATATTTTTCAAAAATGTGAAAGGATCCCAGATCTTGCTCTAGTCTCAGCAGTGCAGACTATCATGGCACAAACAAGAGAGTTTTCCAGAGGCCCTGTTAGAAGGAGGGAGAGCAAGAGCACATCCTTGGCTTATGCTCCAGCAGAAATAATTTAGAGAAACACAGGCTTCCATTGACAGGCCTAGGCAACAGCCGCTGCTCAATACCACAGAGGAACGTAAACAAAAAACCAAAGTCTCAGTCAGCCTTACTGGGAAGAAAAATTCTTCCTCACTTCAAAGCCAGCAAGTATTGTTTCACAGAGTCTGTCTTATGGGATGAAGCTTACCTGAAAGCATTGCTCACAAAAACAAGATCCTGTTTATATCTTCACAGCCCTGACTGACTGTATCAATCCACTATAGACACTAGAAGACAAAAAAGGCCAGAGAAACTTTAAATTGCTGCTGCCAAATTCACAACTTTTTAACATTCTGGGGGGCAAGAGACCTCAGTGTCATAGAAATCAAGACAAAAAAACATTAAAACGCCTTCACTATAAGGAAACTCAAGGAAATTGGTTTGGTCTGCATGATTAGCAGCTTATCAAATCTATCTTAGAAAACACTAAATGGTGAAGACAATTCTGGGGAGACAAGGGGAACTCAAACACAGACACTGTGAAGACTAAGTCCGAGGTGAAACTACTCTGTTAGGGGTCAGGCCACCTGCCACATGTTGAGAAATTAGACCAGTGTCATGCTGCCCCAAACCTGTGGTGTTTGTCAGACCTGCACTGCAGGGCCTCAATTATGTGAGAATTACTTGAATGCTGTGGAACAGAAATCTTAGAATAGAACTTATTACTCACTTTTTTTACCTTATTACATAAATCTAACTATGTGTCACTGAGTGGTGTGGTTTTGTCTCATATCCATCTGATTCAAATTTCTTCCGGGATAGCATAAGAACAAGAATAATGCAGCTGACATTTTGGATCACTGGTTTTACTGATGCCATCTGAACACTAATGCTGTCTTCTCTGGGATTTTTCCTCCATTCACAGGTGGCCAGTATCAATGTTTTGAAAGAAAAGGGAAAGAAAAATGAAACATAATGAAAAGGAAAAAAAATCTTTTTTTCCTCTTCAGTGAATTTATATTTTTATAATCACTCCCATCAAAATCTCTGGTGTTGTTCCCCTACAAAAGTAACTGGCCTTGTAAACAAATATCAAGAAATAATTATAAGCATTGTCTGCATGAAATGCCTATGGAGACGATATGAATTTATCATTCTTCCAATCATAGCCCAGAGTAAACATATGTGGTTTTAACCATTTGTTAAAAGAGTTTGCATCTCTCTGGTGGGGCTTTGTGTCATCATGCAACTCCAGAAAGGCTGTGCCTGTCAATGCAGCACTCTGTCTTAGTCATAATTCTCTTTAAGAGAAAAGAAACTGCCAAGGAATTCATCTAGCACAAAGTAGCTTAGCCCTCTCTGGGACCTGAAGCAATCAGCAACAAGTAGTGAAATCCACATACACCAAAAAAACAAAACAAAACAAAACAAAACAAACCCACCAAAAAAAACCAAAAAAAAACCCTAAAAACCCCAAACCAACCCCCCCCCCCCAAAAAAAACCCCAAAACTAAACAAACAAACAAAAAAAACCCCTTACCTTTAAAGTTAGTGAGAAAATAATTGTAATAGCATAGCTGATATTGTTCTTACAGCCATCCTTTAAGAATTGTAAATTCCCTGGAAATTTCACAGAAACTTCAGCTGAAATGTTATTCATCTGAAACCAGTGAATGAAGAAAGACACAGTGTAAGGGAAAAAAGAGAAGTGTTTGCTCTGCAGCAGCAATTAATTTATTAACTCTTCAAGGGTTAATAGGAGATAAGAGATGCTATAAGAGATGCTATGTTATATCTCTGTACTTGTGCACTGTATAGCAAAGGTAAGGGAAGTGTGGCAGCTGCGAGTTTTGTAGGGACTAAATTAGTATGCACAAATAGTTTTAATATAATGGAACCATAAGGTTTAAGACATTGGGAGCATTTCCTTTAAAACTCCCCCTTGATTCCAAGATTACTATTTTCTATTTTGTTCTACTAGGCTTTTGTAGACTTTTTGTTATCAAAGAGGAGATGAATCAATATGGGTAACTGAAAAAACAAACAAACAAAACACACCCAAACCAACAACAACTATAGCCTCCCCCACCCCCCAAAGAAAAGTCACAGCAGTTTTGTCTCAATAAAAGGAAATCACAGGTTTAAGGGTATTTTTATGTGAAAGATAGATGAAGGGGAAGCTTTCTAGGGAATCTGTAGCACACAGAAATGAATCAAAGCATGAAAAGAGCATGCAGAGGAAAGGAGGCCACAACAGAGAAGAAAAATTACTTGTTTATATCCCTGCTTGACTTGGGTGAGTTCAGGGAGATTTCTGAGCTGAAGCATGTTTTTAGCTATAGACTCATTAAAGGATACTCTTGACTGTCAACAGAAGTTATTGAAGTAATAGCATTAAGAATACAAAATTTGCAAGTCTGATTAATATTTCTCTTTAGGCTCTAGGGAGACTTAAAGATGAAACACAACAATCTCAAACCTCTGTCTCACATACAGTGTGGAAGCAGAGGACTGACACATATGACATCAATTATTTCAGAAAGCTGCAGGGGAACCAGAGGACTGACCAGCAGCTCAATGTACCCACCATGTTAATTAGTTGAAACTGCACGGAAAATGAAATTAATGTGCATCTGAATAAATGCAAACAATTATGGTTCATAAATAGGAATAATTAGGGAAGAGCAATATGGCTTTTGCAAGTGAATAATGGTTTTTACAAATGTACATTTCTCTAAAGTAATCAGCACACTTCCAGAATGGCGCAAGAAGGCTGATAAAGTGCACCTTGACCTTGAAAAGGTATTGAACAAGATCTTCTAACAAGGACTAAAACAGATGAAGATGACTGTGGAGAAGTGACTAAAATAAATAAATAAATTCCTTATTAAGAGGTAGAAAATAAGTGGCAAAAATAGTTAGATTTCATGGGGGAGGAAGATTATCAGAATTATTCCTTAGTGAGTAGCACTTGACTCCATAATTCTTAATTTAGTCTTTAATGATCTTGAAAAGATGCTAAGCAGTGAGGTGAAAAAGTCTGTCAAAGTCACTAAGTTATTTGGTACAGTATATATGACCAGTGGCTGTGAAAAAGACAAAAAAACTTCCTAGTAGTGACTGACTGGGTGACAATGGTGGATGAATGTAAAGGAGAAAGCAGAAAGCAGAAGCCCACTTTATTACCTTCAGTGTGCTTTAATTAATTTTTTGATAAATGAAATTTACAGAAGGTAAATATAAAACTGAAGTCATCAACCCATTTCAGAAAGAATATATTAGCCTTAGAGAACTTTCTAAAATACTGTTTCAGTTCAAAATCAGTATTTATAAATTACATCTTTGAGTTTGTGATATTGTTCCCTTGATTTTCAGGTTTCAGACTGAATGGAAGAGAATTAAACATCTGATTTATGTTCTATTAAATAAAATCTATCTATGAAAACTTCTGATGTAATATTATGATTTAATTTTATTTTACAAGCAGATAAACAATTTGATATTTGTTTCCAATGTAAAGATCCAGAAATAATGTGTCAATTACTATGAAGCTATTGCAACTTTTAATGATCTTTTAAAAAAAATATATTACAACTGCTTTATAAAGCCAGACCAGGAGTTAGAGAACCTAATACATATCATAAAGTAATGAACAAAACTTAAAGTAAAAGTCTCCCAAAGATAAACCTGAGAAACTTTTCTACATATTCTTCCCCAGGGCACTTCGTTCCTGACATATGACATCATAGAAACTGATGTTCATGCATATTTTTCTATTGTTTTGTTTTCCTGGGACTGATAGAAGAAGTAGAGTCTCTTCTTATACTGAGAAATTTTTCATTTTCTATTTTTTATATCCTTTCAATTTTGTCTGCATTATGCATGTGATCGGTTGCAGGTGTTTTTCCTGTTTCCAGTAGCAAAGTAGCTGTAGTATAATGACTTTTTGGTCCTCTCTAGTTTCTTTTCTAATCTTACCTCTCTCTCTTCAGAGATGTAGATAAAATTCAGGCAATTCTTAATTAACTCCGCTTTCAGATTTTTAGGTGATACACAAAACATAGGATACACCGGTTCCCCATCTGTAGCAGAGATACACAGTACTTTCTCTTATTTTAAAATTATAAACACTAAAATCAACAAGATTTGTAGAATCATAGAATCACTTAGGTTGGAAAGGATCTTTAGGGTCATTGAGTCTAACCATATGTGATAGAATCATTTCTGTAGCTCTTGAGAAAAAGAAAGTAAACAGATAAAAAATGAATCATCCATTAAAATTAGTAAGTAATATAAAATAATTTTAAGAAAAGTTAGCAGGGCCACTGAATTCAGTCTTGAGGTTTTGACAACCTCACTATAATTGATTATTCAATTAATTGCATCTCTTGAAGGTTTTTGCAACCTTAAGAGTGTTTGACCATCATGTCAGTACTCCAGGTACCTTTCCAAGCTTCTATCACAGAGTTTTAAGGTATTGCAACCTTAAAAATGGCTGGTTGTCTTGCATTTAATATGATAAAATATTAGTACTTCAATTTTTCATTGGTCTTACCAATTTGTATAATTTTATTTGCAGCCTTTATAAAATTTATGATTATTAAAGAGGACACATGAGAAGTTGATTTAAGATGACAATATAAATATATGCCATAAATAAAATTAAAAAATTAGTTTTATCAGTTATCTCTTCATCTCTCTTTTTCTTCACTGAAAAGTACATCAGTTATAGTTTTGCAAAACTTGAACTAAACTATCAGTATCTAACTTAGAGAAATTTCCTGAAATATAATGCAAAAATAGTAGAGGCCTTCATCCCAAAATAATCAGCTTACTTTTAAAATATCTTTCAGTTTTATGAGTTTGTCAATGTCATGAATGATAGTTCTTCAACTCAGACTGTCTGTCAAATCCAGCAGATACCACAGAGAAACACCTGATCTAGGGAAAATACTGGAAATTTCAAAAGAGGAGTTTAAACTTTAGAACTGCAATATTTTTCATTTTTAGTCATCTAATTTCATTTTCTCCAAATAAATTAGTAAATATTGGACAACATTTTGATGGGTCTCAGGTATTAAAGAAAATATTAAGCTGCTCAATAATTTTAAAAATAAAGGGTGCACTAATACTTTTGCCAATTTTATATTGGAATGTCAAATATTAATTCTTCTAACATGTGTATACTGTTAGTTTAGTTGACTAGTGTTATTGGTAAAAGCTTCTGAGTGTATGCTATTATTTAAGATGTTCAGAGCTTCTAGAAGCATATTTTCTTGTAATGTCTCACAATTGTTTTAGGTATTGTGAGTAACAAACATATCTGAATATAGATTAACTAATTAGAGTGGTCAAGAGTGGTGTCAGTAAACTTTCAGCTGTTGAAGGAGTTAGTGGATGTGGCCACCCAGAAACTGCCCTCAGGGATAAAGGATTGAACAGAGCTTAAAGAATATTTTTCTCACAACACAACTTTCAATTTGCTTTTTTAGGAAATCAGGTACAGAAGGCAAGGAGATAAGTGTGGCTGAGCAAGGACCTCCTGTTCAAATTAAGTATAAGAAATGCACAAGCAACAGAACCAAAGAGAGGTTTCCTGACTGTAATATAGCAAGTTGCCTAGATATATAGGGCTGGGATCAGGAAAGATATGGTTCAGTTAGAGCTTAATTAAGCAAGGAATGCAAAGAATAATAAGGATTTCTATATGTTTGTTGATATGAAAAGGAAGATAAAAAGAAAAGTACCTGAACTGATAAATAAGACAGGGCAACAAGCATGAAGAAGACTTGAGGTACTTAAAATACTTTTCTCTTTCAATTTTCAGTTTTAGTCTCTCTTCCCACACCTCTCAAATCCCTAAACCTCAATAGAGGGGATGAGGGAGCAATCTTTCTGGTTCTAGAAGATCAGTTTCAAGACCATCTGAGATACTTGAATGT